TTGCTGGAATATTGCTAAAAGCAGTGTAAAATCATACTCTCTCACTCACTCATACAGGCAATATACAGTATACCTATGTGGTTCTATCAAGACATGGCCTGTGTCACAGTCTGTGAGAGCAGATGATTAATGGAGTCCAAGTCAGTTATTATAGCTGTCAAGCACGTATGGAGCCTTAGCTTGAATGCAGTGACACATGTCGATAGTACTATTGCATATGTACGCATGACCCATCATACATTTCAGGTGGTAGAAGCCATGTGCCCGTGGTGAGATGAGCGTGACCTAATTACCTGGTCCGTCATCGGAGTCGGCTGCTGCTGTTGCTGCTGCAGTCACATTCCAACCTCCATCACCTGTCCCATGGAGAGCATCCCCCATGCCGGCTCACTGCTCACATCTATCGGTACGTATCACCTTCCTCACATAGCCTTGCTCTCCTTACTGCAACTACTGGTTTTATGTTCAGTTTGGCCCAAAAGATATATGTTTCCTTGTCATGAATCAGGATAAGTATAAAATATCAATTTTATCATAAAAATTACATATTTTTCCTTATCCTGACTCATGATTTGAAGGATATAGCATGAGTCAGGATAAGTATAAAATATAAATTTCATCATAAAAATTACATTTTGTTCACTTTTGATCATATTTACCATTAATTTGATCCCTCAACAGACCTCTGTACAGTCACTGATTATGTGATATATCATTTCTGCTGTTCACAAAAAGTTAAAGAACACCGAATCTTTTTATATTTCTATAGATAAACTGTCAAGCCCTTAACTGGTTTTGCATAGTACTGTAAAGCGTACTTATTTTCGCGTGGTGCAATTTTCTGCGGAATTGACAGTTTAGACTACATCGCAGCGGTCAATTATTCGCGCAATCAGTAATTGCCGGAACTGCCAGCTGTCTCTTTGGCGCCACTAATAGCAGTGAAAACAAACAGAGTGACTGAACCTGTCAGGCGGCATTTATTACTTACTCACAGGAAATCCCTATCTGTGCGATATACTAGTACACAGTAACCCGTTTACTCGGAAGAGATGAAAAACACATCAGTATTATGTTCGAATTCTGACGATCTGACTAATTAACTTATACTGTATATGAAGCTCTTTGTGATTTCAAACAAGCCGGGTTGTTGTGAATGAGATGATTGAGTGTTAGTGACTATTCGGCTTCATGGTGATACGTTTGTATCTACTAGTAAATGAATAAATAAAATACTGCTGTATTATTTCTTTCGAAGTCGTTTAAGTGGTAATCTGTTTTGTATCAAACCATCTATCATGTGACCAATTTCCATGGCGGCCACAACGAACATTGCTGTTTTAAGCTAATTCGTGATGGGATTTGGCTCATTATTTAATTATGTTTTGGGAAATCCATTACAGCGACAGTTAAGTTTGATTCTTTATGCTACTATCAGTCGTCATTTTAAGATTCCCGTAGATATCAGGGCGAAGCTGGCTAGAGTGAAGGAATGACAGGTTTATTAGCGGTGTATAAATTTTCGCTAAAATGTTTTTTGGTGCGAAAATAAAACCTGCTTGTGAAAATATACTACGTTTTGCATAGTATATAGTATGACAGCCTATGTGGACTAAGATAGAGTGTCTGCTCATAGAAAGGAGGGTCGTTTGTTAGATCATAGGTAATGGTTCTTGTTAACCTGCATGGCACTTGGCATTCACAGGATTAAGGGGATAAAACAAGCTCAAAGCCATTATCATGCGAGTAGGGTCACCATCATTTATATCGTCATATGAGCGAAATATTCTCAAGTATGACGTTAAACCCAATTTCACCTCACCTCACCATCATTTATAAGCCACCAAACAGATTGGCTGGTCAGGCACATTGACATGATTGATGGCACGTCTTCGTACCCTGACAGCCGAAGTCATTGTCCACAATGTCAGTCCCCGGATTGTCTGGTCCAGACTCAGGTATTTCCAGGTAGCGGTCTTTAACTGCCATGATGCTGAGTGGAGGGTTAAAGACAAATAAACAAAACCATATATATTTGGGTTTTTTGGTTCTTTCAGCAGGTAAGCTGGTCATATATGGATTGAAAAAATCATTTACATCTATTTGGTAGGAAAGTGAAAGAATACGTCCAGCAGGATGACATGGCCACAAGTCCACTGACCCTAGACTATTAGAGATTCCAAGATCTAGATATGTTCCATGAGCCACTGGTCCAAAATGAGCTCTGACACATTATGTTTAACTGTGGCGTTTGAAATTAACGTCATTCCTGAGGTCCGAAGCCAACTGAAAAACACTCTGACCCACAGCATTTGTTTTCTTATGGCCGACAGCTTTTTCATCCCAGTAATTAAGAATATTATTTCCATATTAAAATATAGGGCCTACACTGGTGTCTACCTCAAGAGGCGGTGAGGTAGTCTAGCGGTTAAAGTGTTTGCCTGTCACGCCAAAGACACAGGTTCGAATCCCCACATGGATACAATGTGTATAGTCCATTTCTGGTGTCCCCCGCCATGATATTGCCGGAATATTGCTAAAAGTGGCGTAAAACCATACTCACATACTCGCACCTATTGCAAGATTAGGTAATGGAATCAACCATTTGTTCTTTTGAAATGGAGAATAAGCCCCATATTTCTTGTGAAGAATTCCCCCACTGACAGAACTTTCAACCCCTATTTGTCTCAAAGTACACAATAAATTTATTCTTCAGAAAATATATGGTGAATTGTCTCAGGTGAAGGATAGCTTTAATGTGAAGAAGGGACTTGACTGCCTGAGGCTTGGAGCTTCCGTTACTGTATGGCATGTTCAGTATGTGAGTTCCTACATGATTTTGTAGGTAAGATTTTCATGTAGGACATATTTACTCTATTTATATCAGATGATAAGAGTAGAGTCTTTGCATTTTTACGTAAGTGTTGTCTTTTCTTTGGGATGCATGAAAACGTTATAGCTTGAATATGTTTTTTCATGTTGTGCAGTCTGACTCTCTGAACAAACTGTTATTGTAAACATGTTTAAAGTTAGTATTACATGAAAAGTCAATGTTAAACCACAATGTTGAAATAAGGTACTAGGAAAATTAATAAAACAAGAAGTTTTATATCCTAGGTTTTGATCAAAATTACATCAGTGTTGAACAGGAAAAGTGCGTGAATATGTTGGGAATACTTAGGAAATTGATTGTTCAGTTATCACTACAAGAAATATCAACCAAAATAGTCATGGTCCTTAACTTTGTTTGTGTAGTATATATCGCAAACTGCCAAGGGCACCTAGTTAGGAATCCCAGATAAAGCCCTGATAGATATGGGTTGGCAAACAATGTTCATTAAGTTTACAAGCACAGTACAAGGAGTAGGTCAGTGATGTGCACGAGGAATGCATCAGTCAGACATGGGTAGCCTCGTCCTGTCTGCCCATGTGGACATAATAAACAGGACTTCAGCTCTGTGGTCCTCTAATGAGGAGGAAGATATATGGACATGTTATCTAGCAGAGGCAAAACTCTGTGAGTGATTGGGAGGCTGAGGGGACGAAGATAACCCTGCATTGTTGTCCGTGATAAATGTGTGACAGGTGTGGTGTAAACATAGGTGGGTGTGGCCTGACTTCCTCCTCCTCATCACTGAGCAGAAAAAATCAATGCATGTGAATACTGTCCCAAGACATCACTGCTTGTATTGTTTATACATATGAAATATGATGAGAATTGTAGCATCAGTGGGGCTTCAGCAATGCTGTCAGAGTATTGCAATGTAAAGTCAAAGCTGAGTGAAGAGAAGGTAGGATCAGTATTCAAGTGATCAAGTAAATCTTAACGTGGAATCGGACAGCGAGAATGTTGGTTTCTTTGCCATGTTTATGAATGAAAGGAGGGGAATTACCAACCATTTGAGGCATTGGTTTGTGAAGTGTTTTGGAATTAGGCTCATTAATGTTATTTGGAATATGAGAACAACATGCATCTCTGGTTCTGTTAACTTTCATGTATACTTCACAAATAGATACGATAGACAGGCAGATTCTGTATACATGCCTGGCAGATTCTGTATACATGCCTCACAGATTATGTGTACATGCCTCACAGATTCTGTATACATGCCTCACAGATTATGTGTACATGCCTCACAGATTCTGTATACATGCCTCACAGATTCTGTATACATGCCTCACAGATTCTGTATACATGCTTTCACAGATTCTGTATACATGCCTGACAGATTCTGTATACATGCATGGCAGATTCTGTATACATGCCTGGCAGATTCTGTATACATGCCTGGCAGATTCTGTATACATGCCTGACAGATTTTGTATACATCCCTGGCAGATTCTGTATACATGCATGGCAGATTCTGTATACATGCCTGACAGATTCTGTATACAGGCCTGACAGATTCTGTATACATGCCTGACAGATTCTGTATACATGCCTCACTGTATACATCCCTGACAGATTCTGTATACATACATGGCAGATTCTGTATACAGGCCTCACAGATTTTGTATACATCCCTGGCAGATTCTGTATACATGCATGGCAGATTCTGTATACATGCCTGACAGATTCTATATACATGCCTCACTGTATACAGGCCTGACAGATTCTGTATACATGCCTGGCAGATTCTGTATACATGCCTGACAGATTCTGTATACATGCCTGACAGATTCTGTATACAGGCCTGACAGATTCTGTATACATGCCTGGCAGATTCTGTATACATGCCTGACAGATTCTGTATACATGCCTGACAGATTCTGTATACATGCCTGGCAGATTCTGTATACATGCCTGGCAGATTCTGTATGCATGCCTTGCAGATTCTGAATAAATGCCTGACAGATTCTGTATACATGCCTGACAGATTTTGGATACATGCCTGACAGATTCTGTATACATGCCTTGCAGATTCTGTATACATATCTGACAGATTCTGTATACATGCCTCACAGATTCTGTATACATGCCTGAGCTGTGTCTTCAGAAAGACAAGGCCTGACACATTAGCCTCTAGCTTGAGGTGAAGATGTCAGCCTTGTAATGAAGTTCTGAATTATCTGTAGCTGGACAAACCTTGTCACACACCTCGGCTGTCAGCTTGAGTGTATCTCAATGGTTGTAAACGAGCCACGCTTCAGTGCCTCTGTAGCACTGACACCACCACACAAGGCTGCCCCTTGTGTCCCCAGTCTTGTGTTCAGTGTGGGCAGAGGGCATATCTATGTTCTTGCTCATCCTGTTACACACCTATGTTAGGGCTCGCGGTGCAAATCTGAACGATATTGTTGCAATAGTGATAAGAAAAGTGGTGTTTAATGTAACCGCTTTACATCAAATGATACAGTAAACTCAAGAATGATGGCCTGTGTGGGGGAACAGAATGGAAAGGCTAAAGAAGGCTGATGAATGGATCTCAGCAGGACATTATTAGGTGGCTTTGAGCTTGGTGACTGTCCTTGGAGCTTGGAGGAGTGTCAGTGAGAGTGTCATACAGTGATGTGGAGTGTTATGACACTGTTGTGTACGCACAGTCTGTGTTCGACAAACATGGTTACGCATACAGGTGGGTTTCTATTTGAGTTATTTTTTTCAAATATTTGAATTTCATGGTGTTGTGGTAAAATGTACATTATGTGAATTTGGGGCTGTGAGGTTGATTCTATCATACCTCCCGTGAGCTGAAGTTGTAACTTGTGAATACAGCCATGGAATTACCTAGATGGAACAGACATCAGCTGGGTAGTTTATGTATGTATCATGAGTATCCACAGATGCGTTTTGACAGTTGAAGTTTAAACTATTTTTCTATGTTATTCACAAGGCAGTCATGTTGTGTATATCAACTTGTTTTTGTCAATTACCTAATTAACCTATGTACTGACAGTTAATCCCAACTGATATATTGTTTACCTTGGTGACATCATCAGCATTATTTATTATTGTTATTGTAAATATTATTTTTATTTCTCACTTCGTTGCACTTGTTTTGGGGAGGGTTACTCGGCGTCTCAGTTTGTTTTGCTGAGAAGCAATAACTTGATCATCCATGTAGGTTTCAGCTGGTTTTTGGTCTGAATCTGACATTCTGAGGTGACCCAGATTTTGAACTGTGGTTGTCAACCCACACTTGTTTTAATAGGTTTCATTAAAGTAAATACCAGATACAATCTTTGTCAGTGAAATACCATTTCTCATACTTTCTCATATACTCAATGAGAAACACTTAAAAACACTATGAACACTTGTCAGGGACTATCACAAGCCGATATTTGATATTTAAATTCCCAGATTAGAGGTACATGTTATGGTTATCTCCCAAAACTTCTACACGCCAAAACTTCTACATGCCAAAACTTCTACAAAAAGTCAAGGCAGAATTATGCACGTACCTATGGGTATAATGGAACAGCCCAGGGGTGGGATTATACACCTAGTTGCGGGTACAGCAACGTGCAGAAAACTTGGACAAAGTACTGTGACTATGTGTCCCAGTCCACCCTGCTGTGAATGGGTACCTCGTAAAGATGGGCAAGCCGCAATAACTCTGTGTGCCTTGTGGCAGCAAGAGTTGTATGTTCCCCAGGGAGTTGAGATTGATAATAAGATGTGCCGTTGAGATGACATCCAATGATCGAGGGAAACAATACCAGTGCCTTGACATTCAGTATAGTAATGTGAAGGAAAAGATTGTTCTTTAGCTTCTTTGGAGAAGTATACAACTGAAATGCTGAACACTGTGAAGATCTGGGTTAGAATTGGTCTTCAGCAACCTATGCTTGTCATGAGAAGCAAGACCTGGGTTAGAATTGGTCTTCAGAAACCTATGCTTATCATGAGAGGCAGTATCAGAATCGGGTGGTCAGGCTCACTGTCTTGGTTGACACATGTTATTGTACACCAGTTGCATGCTATTGATCACTGGATTGTCTGGTCCAGTCTCGATTAATTACAGACTGCTGCCATATAGCTGGAATATTGCTGAGGGTGGCATTCAACAAAGAATAACCAAAGCAGCAATAACCCACTCCCTAACTCACTCGTCTTACTGTTTCAGGTACCGTGGTGTGTGTGGTGACATTGTTGACACTATGTCTCCCTGCCCATGCCGTCTCCACTGTCTCCCGAACAAACACACCCCTTTCGGATACACCCCTCTCCACATCTATACAGCCCAGTTTCAGCTCCAGCCTGCACCCAGGATCAAGCATCACCGTAACAATTCCATCTAGCGGTCTTCAAACACATGGCACGACAGACATCACAGACCTGCTCCATGTATCATCCTCAAGTGACACATATATATCAGAGCCAGTGACAGGTGAAACTTTTAGTCAGCCATTCCGGACCACATCTCCCAGTTTGTCAGTTGGACTTGACATCAACCATGTCAGCAGCTTGTCAGTCAGTCAATCTGACGCTCTCAGTGCAATCTCAACCACCACCTTGGTTTTGGAACCTGCCCGTCCCACCCCGTTGTCATCAGTTGTAGAATCTACAACAGTACCTGGATCATCTTATTCTCCAGAAGTAGGGGGTATGAACAAATCAACAACTACAGTTACTACAGTGAGTTCACAGAGGACTACAGTTGTGAGTAATGACTCAGTTACAAAAACAACGTTGGATGGTATCGGAGGTGGGACAACAACGACCACGTCCCCAATTTTTGGTAATGGTAGCTGTTCAGGCAACAACACTGGATGCCCAGAGTATAACGGCCGCATCAATATGGAACTGTCTACCCCAGCTATTATAGGCATTGCCGTAGGTGCTGCAGTCCTTGTTATTGTTGTAGGTAAGTAGTATCAGGAAAGTTATGGGGGTGATATGTAACAGGCATTTAGCCAGTTACTTCTTTGTGCGTCATATTTAGAAGTTGGAGAGTCAGATGGATGAACAACTTCTTTATTCAGGTGATGCGATATTTCGATACAGATTCTTGTATCGTCAAGCAAGTATGACTTTTGACAATGATACAAGAATCTGTATGGAAACGTCGCATCACCTGAATAAAGAAGTTGTTCATCCATGAAGTTTGTTTTTATCAGCCAGTTACTGCTCATATAGTGTAAGAAGAAATATATAATCAGAGATTTCTTCTGAAATTGGTCTTTAGGTGACAAAGATCTTTGGTCGTGCTTTATGCACTTGTTTGCTTGGTCTTGGACCCACCTGGAATTAGTTATTTACAGGTCACCATGATGTAATGACCTGACTATTCCGGACTACATTATGCAGGAAGTATACTTTACCCTCATTGGTCAGTCAGAGATTTCAAATTACAATGATAATTTGAGAAAATACTTTCCTGTCAGTCAGTGCCAGTCGTAGTTCACTACATGCATAGTAGTGGTCTACACAATACACATAGTGTATGTGTGTCAATGGATGCTGGGCTGAAAACACAGTATGCATCCAAGTAAAGAATGTATTACAAATCCCATGGACAACAGAGGACTTGAGTCGAGGTCCTTCTTCATATCCGACTGGGACATGTATCATTGTATCACAATTCTATTGATATATGCAGTTAAAGTGACAATTTTTTAACGTAAACAGTGACTGATTTTGAATACACTTGACTTAGTCAAAGGTTAGCACCAATTTGTACTTAATATACATACTAGACTCAGCTTATGTTGGTTGGCTCAATATCTTTTGCATTCCGGTTTGTTTTTTAGAATGGAGCTAAGATAAATCTCAAAAATATATTACTTGATTTGATTGTGCTGAATATATCATTTTAAACCTCACTTGGCATGTTGATTCAAATTTCACATTAGTGTTAGCAAACCAACCAGTTTATTAGTTTCACCTTGGAAAGTCAATTTGTGTATCTCATAATTCAGTAACTCAGGTGGGTCACATGAGGCAAGCACTGGGCCCCGTTTCACAAAGCTCTCGTAAGCTTAAGGTTCAGTAACTTATCTCGTACCATTCCTAGTAACATAGGAGGTACGAATGCTACCAGAAAAGTTACGAGATCTTAGGCTTACGAGAGCTTTGTGAAACGGGACCCTGGTCAGTAAAGGATGTGGTTAACCCCTGTTATATTTCTAGGTTTGACAGCTTGTGCTTTTGGTTTTGAATGGTTAACATGTAAGACATGTATCACCTTATCACAAGAAGTTGGTAAGCCATTATATTACTGGAATACTGTTTAAAGTGTCATTAAACCTCACACTCATGAACTCATGAACTCATGACCTCATGAACTCATGAAAAATGTCTTCATTCCAGCATGTATGTTGATCTTCATGTGTCGGCGGCGGCGGACATTATCAGGGTCAAAAGCTGATCTCTCCACCTACTGGGATGACAATGTCACCCTCAGCTACATCAATGGTCATCTGGATTACCCCAAGGTCAGTCTTCATAAGTGTCAATCTGGATGATTGGGAACAGAGTTACATTAAGATCCTCCACGTATACTTGTGTACTGTATGACATGCCTCCAATATGGGAGAGTCTGTAGGTGCTGAGTCAAGTGGACTCTGGGTTAGGATGGGGTCCTAGTCATGACTGCCCTTTGAGGCCACTGACTGGATCTGGTTGTCGGTTGGTCAATGGTGTGTAACCATACCACAACCTTATTGGAATTGGTGAATAATGTGAACTAGTGGTTTGTCTTTTCCAGACTTGATTGTCATACTGAAATATTGCTGAGTGTGGCAGGAGAGAAGAAACTAGTAGATACTGCTTTCTCTAAGTCTTTATTCAGCAGCAAAACATAATCACTAAGAAAATGAGCAGTTGATGTGGATGTAAACCTTTTCTTAGATCTTTTCAGGGGATAAAGCTGTAGCTAACGTCTAAAAATGTATTTCTTGTGGGTCACAACACAAGAACATCAATAACTGGATTGGTTGTGTAGAATTGATTATCTACTGTTGACATATAGCTGGAATATTGCTGAATCAGGCATTATGGAACAAATGCATTTACACTCTCACCCATGAGTACCCTGTGATGTTTCAGACACAATAATTAACACTCTGAAGCCTCTTTATTATCTTCAACAATCATTTAGAAAATAATTCATTAATTCAAAGTGTTATTACCAGTGGCAATGGTGTTGAAAAGAGCATTTTATTGTTTCAGGATCTGAGTGACGAGATGGTTTCATTAGACAATGATTCCTTCCTGAACAGCCTAGACAGCATGTCTTTCTCCAACGTGTGGGCTGGGGAGAACGCCAAACACACTAACTTCTGACACACGCAGAGTAGGCCCATCTCCGCATGTAGGCCACCGTATAGGCCACCTTCGGCCAACCAGATCACCAACACTCCCAACTTCTGACACATGTTGTGCAGAAAGGTCCATATTTCTATGGTTTTAGCCATTGGAATCGGACATTTCATTAAACTATTTTAGATCTGTATTTGGCATGAGTGAAATGAAAGTTCTTGGTGTCTTAATATGAGATGTTGATGTATCCTTGGTAACCAGTGCTGGGTTTTGATCTGAAGTAGAATGTTTGGGGGACATTGACATCTGGATTTGTGCAAAATTTGTTAACAGATGACATTTATGAGAATGGTAACAAGGTCTTGGAGAGGGTTCAGCTGAAGTTTCACTTTGCGCTGAGGGATGTTCTTCGATGCAGCTTTGTGGATGTCAATGGTATCCTATTCATTGCTTTTTGGCCAATGTCCTTGGGAAGCACTGGAACAAGAGCTTTGAAGAACAATGGAACAACAACTTGAATATTCTTGGAACAGGTTCAGTTGAGCAGGTACTTTGATGAACCTTGGGAAAGATACTTTGAAGAACAATGGAACAAGAACTTGATTAATATTGGAACAAATACTTGAAGGACATTTGAGCAAGTACTTAAAGAACATTAAAACAAGAACTTCAAAATCAGAAACTTGTGATCCCAGCTTAAAGAAGTCTTGGTTGAAACATCACAGAGAGTGTGATACTATTGTTCTTGGAGATATGATGCCATCAGATACACTGTGGTCTTGAGATCGGTGAAACAAGAACCAATGTGTGTCCCGAGATGATGACCACGTTATGCAGTCTGTCCAAAATATGCTAGTCTATGTGATTGATCAGGGCTGTTGAATGAAACAGAACAGCCCTGACTATGGATATGTCCTTTTCCGATGGTGCTGATGTTTGCAGATGTGTATGAAGGAGGTCACTCTGACCTATATGAGAGATGTGTTGTTTATATTGTTCAAGGCAGATAGTAGGGCAACTTCTAGGGCAACTGTTGTTCAACAACAAGGGGAATCACCCCGAGATGTCAGAATCTCAAAAAAACATATCATAGATATCCTATCAAAACAATGTCAGAGCAAGCATTACTATGAATATTTAATGTTAGAACCTGTAGTCTTCCAAAAGCCAGAGTACAAAATCAAATTAGACCAGTTTGAAATTAAGAAAGCAAAAAAAAAAGTAAGAAGGCAGATAAACTGCATTTCCAAAACAACTACAGAAATCTGTTGTGTTATTAAGAAGTGAAACAATCTGTTATATTGGGCAAATTCACCAAGCTATGATCCTTTGATGATTTGGATTTGTCCCTGGATTTTGTTAAACTGATATAGGTCAAATTTGAGCCAAAAAGTACCGTAATGGTCTGAAATTGAAAATGAGTTTGTTTGATAATTGTATGTGCCAAGATTCGACACTTCATGATATTAATCTTGAGAAGTTGGGTTTTTTTAAATGTGTAGACCATGGAAATAAATATAAATTATAATAATATGAATATTCAGGATATGCTAAGCATTATTGATAGCTGGGTGAGAAGTGTTACTATGACAACGGTAGATATATAGGCCAGTCAGAGCAAGAATTATTTACAGAGTGTTTTGTATACTTTCTGCATTTGTTTTCTCCTGTTTTCAAGAACAAAATGTTTACTGGTTGTGAGAGTATTATTGTTACAAGTGATTAGTGCTGTTTTGCAATCCTACAATGATCAGTTCAAGTCAGTCTGACATTGTCAGCATGCTTTTGTTTGTGCATTTTATTTTATTTGGATGTTGAGTTATTTTACCAATTCCAGGAAAACTGATCTTGTATTTTTTAACCCAAATTCAACCGTTTCATCAACAGTTTTTCAGAAACAAATGCAATAAGCAAGCCCAGACTGCGGTGTCATTATTGACTCTCATTTGAACCCACTGGCTAAAGGGAGATAACTCTAATAGGCAAGCCTGTCAAACTTGTGGGCAGCTATGCCAGAAGACAGATGTTTTCATGGAAACATGTTTGATGAAGTGTGTTCATGGTGTCAAAACATTGAAATAATTTTATTAACCTGTTGAACCCAGTGGTTGTGCATCTTTTGATGTTTTTCATTCCGAGAATCGTCATGGTTACATTACCTGTCTTAATTCAGTTTTTGCTCTGCATGTGCTTTGAGGATGATACAAGGCGATTTTGATTAATGAAGATGGTGCAATAGGTATTACATGTATATCAATAATATCATGATTACAGTTGTATTCAATATTTGGCAATGTGTTTTTGAGAGTTTGCATTCAAAGCATTTAAGTATAATGTACTAGAGTGCATGTAAGGAAGATTGGTGTTTGAGGATAAATGTGTAGCCAGTGATTCACATAGTCAGTCCATCGCCCACTTGTTACATATATATATGCAGCACTGTATTTTTATAGAAGTGACCCCTGTATTATGTGTGTGTCCTCACACTGATCTCATTCCATATTCATCATCATCTACTCATGTCATATGCATAATTATTCTTGGAACAAAATGGACATTGATACCTTGAAGTTTATTTCAGAATATTGGAGGTATTTTTCCTTTTTTGAATGTAAGATACAAACGTTTAATAGGCATTTAGAAGTGGCAGAACATTAATGCAAGAAATGATTTAGGGATAATGGCTTCACTATTATTTGTTGCTGTGTTTCAGGGTTCTTGATCTTTCATTAAGAGAATGAATCAGGGCTGATTTCAGGTGAATGACCTGTTTTCGCTGTTTGCTTTTCCGTAGATTTAGCATCAGCTGTCCACAAAACAGGACGTGCCAAAAACGGTTTAAGTCAACCAGCCGAAATGTACCTTTTAGCATTTCAGTTCCTTGGATTAGTCCCTTACTTAACTTTGATGAAGTAAGTATATGGACTAATAATGACATAAATTTACAAGAACGGAATAACATGGGGTGGCCACAGAGAGTCAGTACAACCCTCCGGGCTGAGGGCTAGAGCTGACCTGTGTTGGGAGTCTAAACCCTACTGACCAAATAATTGGAACTGGTGACTATTTATCTAAAATTGAAACAATACAGAGATTATGATTCGTTGGCTGATACAAAAATGGGTGTAACCTACATTAACCAATGAAATACAGAATATACAAGATGGGGTGTGTCCTACAAAATCAACTTCAATGACCAGACCGGGTGTGTACTCTTAATCCTGTTAATCCTATTTCAACTGGCACTAATCTTGTTGGCACTTTTACTGGATGCTTGGATGCTTACCCTGGGCTAGATCTTAACGACATGTTTACTTTATCAAAACAGTTTATTAAACCGTCTAGGCATAACTTTGTCTTTCTGAAAGGTTTGTCTGACAGCTTGAGTCCTTGATACCTTAGGCTAGGATTTTATCTTGAGCATCTGTGAAATTGTGCAGCCGTAATTTACACCTTTTTTTAATAGTATGTCTGTGAGATGAGTTTTGACAGGAGTCTTTCTCTAAGCTGTTACTGATGCATGATAAAACTAATATTCTATATCTATATTTTCCTAATATCTGAATCCTAATATATCGCTTGTAGTGGTTATAATAAATAATGAATTTTGTATGAATAATTATTCCATGATACAGACATAATCAACAACATTAATGTTACCTTGGTAACAATTGGAAATAAGTCAAGACCAATTCAGTTTTATATATTTTCTTGGCCAATGCCACGAAGCAGACAATAAAAGGGCCTACTGAAAATATTTAAGGTTTTATTTGAAGTTAAAGCTGTATGAAAAATGTGAGCACGATATTGTTCTTAAAAAAGCTTATAACAATCAAAGCAATTATTTGTTTCACTTTTAGAGAGAACAAAAAATATACTTGCCTGGTCTTACTGGTATGAACAGTTAGATTTACACCAAACAAGGGCAACTCAGTAGTAGACTGACTCAATCAGTAACCTGTCAACATGGAATAGATTGTAGCAGTTTTCCTTGATATTTGTAAAGTGACTTCATCGTGTTTCTGTCATAACATGATAGTTGGGTCCAGAATTTACATATTATTTGGACTAATTCGGAGTAGCTGTGCAATACAGTTAGTGTAGTATGAAAGAAGCTGGGTTTCTCCATCCAAAGCTTTCATCTTTGTTAAACAAGTTTTATGTCACTAAAACTCAATGAGTTTGGTCTCAAATGTGCCATATTTCTGAAATCAAACGATTTATTCAATGTTATTGTAATAGTCAAACAACTTAGGACGTGGTTGTTTGATATTGGTGATGAATGCTTCCGCCATGATGCATTTGTTTGAGTATGTAGAGTCCTAGATGAATGTAACTAGCAAATATAGGTGGCAGACGGCGGTTGACCACTCACACAGTACAGTGTGTCACACATAGTTACATAACACTTGTGATGACCAGTTCAAAGAATTTGGGATGAATGATGTCAGTATTTCCAAAGTCATTGCCATAATAATTTCATCACACCATCTGTATATACCTTGAAATATTACTCATATCCAATCATTCCATCAGGTCATATCATACAATAAACTCATTCCGTATCACCTGAGAATATGATGGAAGGACATCATATAAGGAATAGCTGCAGTCTAGCTGATGCTGCATGGAATCCACTCACTCACTCTGAGCTGTAGCTCTCATCACTAGGGAATTGTGGACAAGATGTTCGATGATACTTTTCATGGTAAAGTGTCACTTTCAATCTCAAAGAAATTACCTGTGAGAGGGAGTATGTTAACACTGTAGACCGGTTTGATTCCCCACATGGGTACAATGTGAGAAGAACATTTCTTGTGCCCCCCCACTGTAATATTGCTAAAAGAGATGTTAAATCATACTCACTCACTCACTTAAGTTGGTCCAAAAGATTAGTTTCTCCATTTATCAATAGCCTCATGCAATATTATGTTTCTATTGTCCACAAAAGATTGTACAAACAGTTGTGAAACTATATCTAAAATATATAACATAGATAATGTTTTGAATATTTTTAGATAATTTTATAATTGAACATCTTGTTCCTTCTCCCTTTGATGATCAGGTGTAATGTCATTGAGAGTAAAAGCCAGACAAAATTTATTTGTTCATATTAAATATATTATCAGTCAGTGTACCAATATGTTCTGACAAGGTTGATATAAGTTAATTTGCCAGTCATTTTATCCTGAAGTATCTTCAAATTTGAGTCTTTTTTTAAAAATCAATGTTCATTTTATAAGAATATGTTTATATCTTAAGATTTTGAATTTCTATTTCAACTTCGTTAAGTCTGTTTTAGAAATTTGCATGTTTATATCCTAAGGATTTGAATTTCTATTCCAACTTTGTCAAGTCTGTTTTAGAAATTTGCATGTTTATATCCTAAGGATTTGAATTTCTATTTAAACTTTGTAAAGTCTGTTTCAGAAATTTGTGTATTCATTCCAAACTTTAAATATTTTCTTTTCCTGAAAATATCATAAATTCGACTGGCCTAAGACTCATTTGACCAATCTCCCGTGGACTAAAATAGAAGTTTGTATGAAGATTCCATCATTCTCGGTGTTTCTCCAGTGTGTATATATCCCTCTTATTTACCAAAGACTGGACCTATAGCCAGATGCATATCAGATTATACATGCAATATACTGTGTGTATGTGTTTGTCACTGTCAACTATGTGTCCATCCCATTGTCCCCATGGTTACTGTTTGTCTTGTCTTCCTGTGGCATAATATGGCACTTTGTTTAAGGCCTTGTTGTTGATTTTCATTTTATCAGATTATATATATCTATCTTTTCATGCTTCCAGTTTTTATTCCAACTTCGACAAGCATAAGTTTTTTAAAACGCATTTTCATTCCAGACCTTGTCTTAACAATTTGTGTTTAGCTTATAATATATTAAGATTTGAAATGATGGCTTCCATTTGTGGAATATGAATAATGGTTTATTGAGTATTGTTGCTGTTAGTAATGGTTCAATATGAATGTACTTAGGGAAACAAAAAAGGGAGCACCACTTCATGACTGTGTTCCTTTATATAGTCCCATATTTCACCCACAGTGCAATA